AAAACCAGGTTGGGCTCACTTTGATCAGCTCTAGATCCAAACAAATCCCACATGACTGGTGTTATATAAATTACTATAGTGGGTCAAAAACTAAAAAAAATGAAAGAAGTATTGTTGTACATAACAAAAAAAATTAACAAAAAAATATGTCACATCCTCCCTTAAATTATTTATCAAAAATAATACATATTATTGCATTTGTTCACTCTAATCAATTTTTTTGTGTCTTTGTTGCATTTTTTCACTCCAAGCAATTTCTAAAAGCATGCATCATCAATGTATTAATGTTAAAGAAATAAAGTTTTTGAATAAATAAGCATTTATTAAACTGATCTACGCATGTTTTCGTTATAAATTCCTAAATTTATACAATTTTAAAAAAAGTAATAAGGGTTAGATATAACATTACCCTTTTATTATTTTAAAGAATAACTAATAAAAAAATCGGTTATTTCATGAAATGCCACTGAGCAATTGCGAAATTCACCAAATGCCATAAGCCTTTTCTAAATTCACCAAATGCCACCGAATTTTAAAAAAAATTCATCGAGTGCCATTAATGACGGTTGACCGTTAGTTGACCCCATCACTTGCCACGTGTCAACTTATGATTGGTCCGTTTTTTAAAATAAAAAAATAAAAAAAAATAACAAAAAATTAAAAAAAAAAAAAGGAACTCAGAGGTGGCCGGCCACCACCTCCTCCCTGTCGTCGAGCCCCCTGCCCACCCCAAAACCCTAGCCACCACCACCCCCTGCCGCCGGGGCTAGCACCGGAAGGCGCGCCGGCCGCCGGCGACCCCTCCCCTTCCCCTCTCCTATCCCGTCGCGACCCACCGGGGCTTTAAACACAAAATCCAAAAACCGCACCCCCTTCCTCCACCTCCTCGAACAATTCAAATCAAATTGGGGCTTAATTGAGGTTCGTTTATGCGGCTGCAAATGGTGCGGTGGGGCGAAGGCTGGTGGTGCGGCTGTGATTAATTGTGTGTGGCGAGCAGGGGTTGCGGGATTGTGGGCGGAGTAGGTTGTAAATGGGAGAGGATCTGCGCGTGGTGGCTGTGAATTAGTGGTGGAGATGCGTCGCTGTAATGGAGCTGGTGGTTTTGGGGGTTTCGCGGGTGGTTTTGGGGGTCGGTGGTGGGTTAGGTGGGGTGCTAAAGGGCCGGCCGACCGATTTTTGTTGGTTACGAAGGTGGCCGGCCTTTTTTCGGCAAGGTAAAGGGAGGGGCAGGGTTTCGGGGTGGTGGCTGGGGTGGTCTCAATGGTTTATGTTTTTTTCCTTTTTTTTTTAAAATGTTTTTTGTTTTTTTTTTAAATATTTTTTTAAAAAACGGACCAATCAGAAGGTGACACGTGGCAAGTGGTGGGGTCAATTAACGGTCAACTAATAGATACTGACGGTCAACTAACGTCCAGACCTCATTAATGGCACGGGGTGTCAATGTGCTATTTGTTAGTGGCATTTGGTGAATTTAGAAAAAGGCTTATGCCATTTGGTGAATTTTGCAATTGCTCAGTGGCATTTCATGAAATAACCATAAAAAAATTACATGCAGCCAAAATGGGCCATTAACAATTGCCCAATTCTCGAGCGAGCCCCATTATCTCAATTAAGAAACATTCTATGTTTCTCAAATGTTGTCGACTCATGCATCTTGATTTCTCAATGCAACAATGGTGGTTTCTTCACCAAAATCTTAGACAACAACCCAGAAACACCACATACACCAATCCCAACCAACACTACATACATACACGAAGATATAGCCGCTTCGCGGCGATAATTCGGCCAACTGAACAAATATACCCTAGTAGCAAAGTATGTAAATTAGACCCACATTAACCCTTAAGGAAAGGTATTTGCTAACCATTGGGTACTTGGAGCGGCGAGGAGGTGGTAGGTCGTGGGGTTAGAGTGCTGAAGTAGTGTTGGTGGTCGTGTAGTGGGAAAGGTTGATGGTGGTGGAGTACAGTATAGTTAGAGGAGAGAGAAAGAAGGTAAAAGGGAAAACATTAGGAATGACAGTGAAAAAAAAAAGGAAAGTGAAAATCATAAAATTACATTGTTATTCTTATTTATAAATTTAACCCCTTGAAAAACATACCAGTTTCTTAATTGAAAAACTTGTATTTAGCCCAAATTCTCGACCCAACAATGCATCAAACCAAGAACAAATATAGTACTGCCCCCGTGTTTTAATAAGTGTTACAGTTTGACCAAACACGCATGCTGAGACACAACTTTGACCATTAATTTATCTAATCATATATAAGTAAAATTATAGGAAAATTGATATTATGAAAGTATATATTATAATGAATCTAATAATGTATTATATAATAACATTTGTTTTTTATAAATTAGTAAATTAATCAAGTCAAAACCATTATGTGAATAGTGAAAAAAGTCAAACTATAACACTTATTAAAACACAGAGGGAGTAATTTCATTACATTCTCACTCATTACTAGAAAACAGCTTGATTCCGACGGAAATAATCCGTCGGAATCAGTCGAAATTCCGTCGGAAATTGGTCTTCCGACGGAATGTTCTGTCGCAAAACCCTTCGTAGGAATTTTTTCGTCGGAAGAGGAATTCCGGCACCGAAAAGTACGTCGGAAATTTCCAACAGAATACAAATTCGCCGAAAAATTTCGTCGGAAACTGCTTTAAAAAAAACAAAAAAAAAAAACGCCTCCCACCACCCCCACCTAACCTGAACCCACCACCTTAAATCACCTAGAAACCACATGAAAACCACCTAGATCTAGAACAAACGGCCACCCACAACCACCACCCAGACCCACGCCACCAAACCCACGAAACCACCAAAACCCTAAACCCTAACCCACGCCACCAAACCCAACCAGACCACCCAGAAACGCGAAACCACCCAAAAAAAACCCGAAACCACCCAGATCTAGGATAAACGACCACCCACAACCACCACCCAGACCCACGCCACCAAACCCACGAAACCACCGAAACCCTAACCAAAACCCACGAATCCACCAAAACCTTAACCAACCCTAACCCACGCCTGAAACCACGAAACCACCCAAAAATTCACAAATCGCCACCCACCACCAGCCCACACATCACACACGCACACACAACAACTCAAAACCCAAATTTTTTTAAAAAAACTTAGAAAAGCGAAAAATTAAAACATTAAACATACCTTGAATTGAAATGGGCTTCGAATTTCACCACGAAAACGGTTTAATAAGGCCAAATTCGGCCATGAAAAATCTAGATTTAGGCTTTTATATTAATGGTCGGATTTGGCCTAAAAAACCTTCAAAATAATCAAACCAAAACTCATGGTACAAGTGGTGTTGATTGCGCAGCGGCGGTGGTGTTGGTTGCGCAGCGGCGGTGTTGGTGTGAGAAGGAGAAGAGAGGAGAACTGAGAAGGAGAAGAGAAATGAAGGAAGGAGAAGGAGAAGAGAGAGAAAGAGAGGGCGGAGGAGAGAGGAGAACTGAGAAGGAGAAGAGAAATGGAGGAAGGAGAAGGAGAAGAGAGAGAAAGAGAGGGCGGAGGAGAGAGAAGGAGGGAGGAGAGAGAAGGGGGAAGAGAAGAGGAAATAAGAGCGCCAAAAGAGGAGAGGAGAGAGAGAAAAGATCAGAGATGAAATGAAGGGGGAGGGTTGGTTTTTTTTTTTTTTTTATATATATAATTAAATTCCGACAAAATATTCCATCGGAAATTTCCGACGGATTTTAATTCCGTCGGAAATTTCCGACGAATTTTAACAATTCGTCGGAATATCTGATTTTTCCGACGGAAATACGTGTCCGTTGGAAATCGGCCTATTTCTAGTAGTGACTATTTCCCTTTTGATCGGAATCGCTCACTATTACTTGAATCCTTGAGAAAATAAAGATAGGAGGAGTATTTTTTTTTATCATTTGTTTTTTTATTCTTTGTACTCCGTATCAGGCCATGTTTAGTTCATTTTAGTTCAAACCTTATCACGAATACTTTTTTCAAATCAAATCATGTTAGACTAAAATAAATTCAAATCAGATAAGATAAATTAAGTTTTGAATATAATATATTGTTTTATGTGCGATTTTTTAGCACTAAATATTATTAAATTTTTAATGAAAAAAATTATGAAAATTACACAATATATATACACTGAATCTGATCAGCTCTATTATTTTTTCTTGTTAGATTAGCATATAATGTCAAAGTTTGACCAAATCAGATTAGGAAAAATTGATTCAGATGAGATTAGATTAGTGAAAATTAATTCAAATTAGATCAATCAGAAAAATAAATTCAGACCGTCAAATTAGCAAAACTAAAACTTTTATAAAAAAAAAATAGCAAAACTAAAACTGATTTTTTAAATTTTTTTTAAAGATTTTAGATTAGTTTTTTTATTTTATTTTTATTTTTATACGTAGTATATTTTTTTTCGATATAAAGGAGAGAGAAAAAGTAAGAGTTTACCTACTCCCAAAGAGCTGACTTCTACAATCAAACCTCTCTGATGTCGTCTTCATGCTTCTTCTTCACTGAGGTTTCGTATTTGAAATTTTCATCCATTTATTCCCATTTTTACTATTTGGGTATTTTAATTTTGTTCCCAATTTCATCTGTTTCTGTTTCTTTACTCAATTCAATTGCTTAATTTTTCTGGGTTTGTGAATTTTTGCCCTGTTCTTTTCAGATTAACTATATAATTATTGATTTATGGAATTAAATTTTATTTTCCTCTTATTCATGATTTTTATTGGACATTTTTATGATTGAATTGGTTTGTGGGTTTTTGTGGGTGTATGTTGCTCATTTTGATGATCCAGTTTAATTAATCTTGTTATAATCTTTGTACGTTTTATTTTAATATAATAAGTGGATTTAATGTATGTTTTTTATTGATTAATTTGAAATCTTTAGGTATGTTTAAGAAATTGGGGTTTTAGATCAGTAAATTGAGTTGGAAGTTTGTTTTTGTTTTTGTTTTTTTTTTTTTTTTTTTTTTTTTTTGGGGGTGGGGGGGGGGGGGTTTAATTCCGATATATTTATTTTCTGCAAGCTTATTGAGTATATTACAGTGTATATCATCTATAATTATGTGGGATTTTCATTTTTGTTTATTTGTCGCCATGAAGCTTTAGGTCTTTTTATAATTTTATGTATGAAAATTGTTTATAGACCCTTAGACTTAGGAAGGGCCAAGGGATTTATAATATCTTCTATGACAATCTTTTGTGATAGGATGTAAAATGATAAGCTGCCTCTTGGAGATTTTCCTGAACTCTTTAGCAAACACGGTTATTGACCGGCTTATGGTGATTAGTGGTAAGGCTGCGCACATTTGATCCTCTCTAGACTTGTTTGTCCTATGAGATCTATATTGAGTGGTGGTTGTTGATACTTGTTAGCTTATATGAGTTTTCCTTCTTTTACCTTTGGGATTATGTTTGAAAAAGTAGGCAATCGTCTGCACAAGCACGGACACTGGATAATTTCCTCTATTTCATCATCTGGTTTTACAAGGGACCAATCTTACTTGATGAGTGCAAATATAGTCTATAATGTTGAATGAGTGCATTAGAAAAACCGTTGGAGTAGTAGACTGTGCCATTTTGTGGTCCAAATAAATACTGTAAAGTTGAATGTCACTTTTTGCTAGCATTTTCTATCTTCCTTTTATGAATGCCTTTGATGGTAACTTAAGAAAAAAATTGTTCACTATGCATTTGTGGAGGCTCAATTGTGCTCTCCATCTTCTTTTATCTTGTCTTTCTTGAGTGGCTTAAACCTTTACATGTTTTGATAGGTAGCGTTGTCTTCTGCAGAAGTGGCATCATGTATTAAATCATTGCGTAAATTAGTTATTGGCTAGTGTTCGGTGAAGGAGTTGGTTGAGTCTCTTAGTGGCTTGAAAATTGTGAGATTTATGTAATATCGTACAAGTTTTGGGTGTAGCATGTTCATGGCCTTTCAATGTTTTTATAAAAGAGGGCCTCAACGAAGCACTGGTGGAGGTGAAGATATTAAGCCTCGATTAAAGTCTTCTGAAATAGTGGAAGTTCAGTTGGATACAAATTGGGATGATATATCTTGTCCAGTATGCTTGGATTATCCTCATAATAGTGTGCTGCTTCAATGCTCATCTTATGATAAAGGATGTCGTTCATACGTGTGTGACACCAATCACCTGCATTCAAACTGCTTAGATCGCTTTAAAACTGCATATGGGATACCTTCACAATCAAATTCACCACCAACATCATTATCAGTGGGAAATGAAAATTCAGCTGCAGTAGTTCCTGAAAGCAATTGTAAGCCAACTTGTCCATTATGTAGAGGAGAGGTAAATGGTTGGGTTGTTATCGAGAAGGCCCGAGAGTATTTGGATCAGAAAAAGCGTTATTGTGAAGAGGAACGATGTTCTTTTGTTGGTACTTTTTCGGAGCTTCAAAAACATGCTCAAGAAGAACACCCTGATTCCCGTCCATCAAAAATTGATCCTGCACGTCAGCTTGACTGGGATAATTTCCAGCAGTCATCAGAAATGGTGGATGTTCTTAGTACCATTCATTCAGAAGTTCCGCGTGGAGTTGTTCTGGGTGATTATGTGATTGAATATGGTGACGATGATACAGCAGACGAGTTTGAGGACTTCCCTGGTGATGAAGGAAATTGGTGGACTTCGTGTATCTTGTATCAAGTATTTGATAATCTCCGCAATAGTCGAAATAGGAGAAGGTCAAGAAATAATGATACAAGAAGAGGAAGCCGCCGGTCTAGCAATGATACGTCAAATTCAGATGATGGCTCTGTGACATCTGTAGAATTTCCAGACTATAGAGGAGACGAGTTTGATGATGAATTTATACGCTCCAGAGGTCCTGCAAGAAGTAACCTCAATCGCCGAAGGTTAGTTTTTGCACTAGTCAGTTCTTGTTGAAATATATTCAGTTTTTATGTGGTTTCTACTAGTTTGTTCTCACCCCTAAATTTTCTAACCATATGCTATTTTATTGGTTTCTTCTATGTTCAGTGTTGTTGAACTGGGCATTATGTGTCTGGTAGAGAGAGTATGATGTGTATGACAGAAATTTTCTCAATGTTTGCTTCTACATCTCTTCAGGTTTCTTGCCTGTATGTGAATGCAACCTCATAAACTTATTTGTCTAAAATAAACCGTAAACAATGGTTCATGGTGGACCGGTGGTTTGCAATAGATTTCAAACAACTAACAGAGAGAAATTAGAATTTTCTTCTCATTAAGCTATTATTGATGTGGTGAATTCCAATTTACAGCCATGCATCATGTTAGTGTTCAATTTGTATGCGTTGTGGACTTGTAGGTCAGTTAGGTGACTTTTTTCTTAAAAGGTGCTGCGTCATAGAAGCTACATAGTAAATGTTTTTCATAAAGTAAGTTTCATGTTAGAATTCCATCACTTCCATGGTTCCATGTCGTATGTTCTAAAAAGTAAAGCTTTCTTTTGGAAGTATTTTAAGTTCGATGTGTAAAATAAAGAACAACAGGAAATTATCTAAAATATTCCATAAACAGGTATTCTTTTTTATGGGAAATAGAATTTCTTTTTGCAACATTTGTTTGATTATATTTGACTTTTGTTTGTACTTGTTCAATTCATGTATAATTGTACTGCATTATTGTTTACAATCCTGTCATTCTATCTCTTTGCCTCACTTACCTGGTTGATAAAAGGTTAAAAGCCTTAATTTTCCCCCCTTTTACATTCTCCATTAGATCATTCTAGCTGATCGTCTGATCTTTCATTATTGAAGGCAGATGCATGTACCATGTGTTTTGTGCAACACAAAATGAATGTTTAAGTCTTGTTTGCATCTCTCGCTGAATTCTTCTAAATTGTAATGGTATTGTCTGCAGTTCTCGAAGAAGACGCTCCCGCTTCTATGACCATTAGGTGCATTTGTGCATAACTTGGTGATACTTTTTTTTTCTTTTTCCAAAAGATTAATCTTGCAATGATTTCAGTTTTGATATATAACTTGTTATTAGCTGCTTCCTAAAATTTCTTAAGTTTATGTTTCAAGCAGAAGCTGAGGGGGAATGGTGAAAAGCCGAAGCAGAAAAGAGTACTGTGATGTTATCTACAACATCCTGTCTTTCCGCTGCAATCAGCTTATGTCAATCATAATCAGCTCATCTAGTTAGATATGAAATCCTAGATGTTAATGGATTTCAGTTCTAGATATAATTTTTTTTCATTGATTAGTCCCTCCTTTTTCCGTCGCTTTGAATGGAATTCTAGAGATAAAGAATATCTGGTTTTGTTTGCCTTTTGTAAGAAACTTTGGGGTAATGCATGTACATATTTCATGGTAAATACTAGATTTTGCTTTCCTTTGCTTAGTTTCTCGAAATGGCAATCTTAAGAGTTTGGGATCTATACATGTCTATCATACACTCGGGTATGCTTGGAGGTACACTCAAGTGTATGAAGAAAATGTAACGTGTTGGTGTTTCTATGAAGCTATTATAAATGAAAAGTTAGCAAGTGATTTTGCCTTTTGAGCCTTTCATTTATCATGATGTTGCAATAAGAGCATATTTTAGTGCTTATTGATTGTTTTATGTTTTTATTATTGTGTGAGAAATATTTTCTTCTTATCCTACATGGACCATAATTTTGAATTGGTCAACAAGAGAAGTTTAAAAATAAATACAGTAAATTAGGAGATTTATATGGTGGATGCTTGACCAAGTATAGTTGGTTAAAAATAGATTAAAAAAAACACACCAATTATTGAATTGCGGCAAATGTAACAGTACTTGTGAGAAAAAAAAGGGAGAGCAAGTCTAAAATGAAGTATTATTGTATTAACGAGTTGGTCAACATATGGAGTAATTATTAAACTTTGGTACTTTATTGGAGTAATATCTTTTATGTATAATAAATTAGTAGCATTTTTATATTTTAAATTTTCATTTTGTTTTAAGGTTATTTGTACTTTTTAAAATGGTATTCCGTAGAAAAAACAAACTGTTAAATTCAAATAGATTATACGACAACGATAACTATAACTCATTTATCAGTTATTTATGGGGAGGTTTCACATCTTATATATTATCAAAAAAATGAGTAATTAATAGTGACGAGTTGAAAACCACTATCACTAATCTCTATTTGAAATGAATATTGATCAATCGATAGATAGGACATGAATTTTCAATCGTTCTATTTGTATTAATAATAATTATAACTGTACACTTCTATATTGCTATTTATATTTGTTGACTTGTATAAATTATTTAAAAGTGAATGGGGACGAGGCCATGGGAGGTGTTGGTGCATGAGATTAAAGAAAACTTTATGTAATTATACTATAATACAAAAGATAGCTTGTGCTTGAGAAACAAAGTGATAAAGTCAATTTCTTTTATAGTGATTTGATTATTATATCTTAATCTGTCTACCATGCTCTTATTTCTCACTAATTTTTTTTTTTTTTGAAAAAAAAATTTACATCACCTTTTTGGCCTTTTGTTATTAAGTTATTTTTTTTTTTTTTTTTTTTTTTTTTTTTGTTGTTGTTGAAATAATTGTGTCACGTAACTCTGTCTACGATAGTTATACCATCATGTCACAATTCTCTTTCTTGAGGTGTTTATTTCTTATTAATGGGGTGACTCGGAAATTTGACATTAAATTATGATATGACTATCGTTATAATCCCCCAACTTGAAATTAGTAATCAATTTGAAGTATTAATATAAAGTTATTTAATAAAAGTAGTAGCCCTTTTGAACAAGTCTTTAGTAATAGTTAATAATTAGATTTTTATATGATCACGGAAATTAAATGGTAGGAGAAGATGGAGATGACTACAATAACAATTAAAAGGGGTCATACTTTATAAATTATGTCTTAATCTTAATCTAAAAGGTTAGGAAAAATATAGTAAAAAAAACTATTAGGAAAAATATAGTAAAAAAAAACCAACTCCTAGTTGACAAGTAAACTTCACCAACATACATAGTTGTTAGAGATTGAATGATAGCTCAAGTGGTTATAATTCCCCTCCCGGTTCCTGGGATCAATTCTCATCACCCGCCCTTGTGGCTCTCTAAACACCAAAAAAACATAGTTGTTAATAAGCTAACCTTATATTCACTTATTAATTATTGTTTGGGGGTTTTTTTATGTGTCCTTCGGGAGAGTTACAATTTCCTAGTATGCTCTTTCCTTAGCCGGTACCTGCACAAATAACGGAATACTCCGGCTGGGGCTGGGGTGTTCCGCCTCTGAAGATTAAGTTAGTCTCTTTCTGAATGAAGAAATAAGACAATAAATGCTTCTCGATTTGAGAGCGTTTGCAAGGGGATTTGTGTTTTGTTGTTTTGTGGGAAAATGATTCCATCCCCATTAAGGAGGTCTGCCCTTACTATTTATAGTAGGGAGAACTGTACCTCAATTAGGGTATAATGACACGTGTCGCAAAGGGATTGGGCCTTTGCTGACCGTTGCAAGCTTGACACGTGGCAGGCCTTTATTGGGCCACGTGTCTTAGGGTATTTTTACCCTAAATATCTGCCCCTCACAGGTGTGACGTGGAATGTCCACGTGTCACCTGTGACAAGTGTCAGGCGCATGGGTGGAGACGGTTCGTCTCTTCCCTCCTTTTTTCAAATTTCAAGTTCTTAGGGCAGAAGGCATCGTTTCGCCTTCTGCTCCTTCTATAAATACAAGACACGCTCTCTCTCCTCCTCACTTTACATATTTTTCAAAAAAAATTCTGAGAGCGCTCTGCTACCGGCTGTATTATTTCCTTAGCTTTCCTGCATCCGGCACTTTCAAATTACGCGCATCCGGCGACCGGTTGGGTGCCCTTTCTTCAATCTCTAAGGTACCGGCTGCCCCTTTTTTTTTTTTTTTTTTTTTATCTTTTTACTTTCGCTTTTGACGATTTCAAACATTTCACCCCATCCGGGTTGCATGCCGCCTGGGAGGCCCTTTAACCATATCCCATTTGTTGAATCTTCTCCCTCAGCCGGCATAGCCCCGTCTGAGGGGTTTTCAACTTTAAAGTATTATGCATTCTAATCACCCCATCCGGCGTAACACCGTCTGGGGTACTTTTGAGTTTTTATCAACTGATTTCAAAAACCCCAACCGGTTTTGAAGCCGGTTGGGTCATTATCCTTGTCTTTGGATTTTTCAGAGTTTTTAAGATGCGCTCAATGCACCCCCATCCGGTATATACCGCATGGGGGTGGTTTGAGCAGCCTTGCCTTTCTCAAACATCATTCAAATAACCCCCATCCGGTATTTAACCGCATGGGGGTGGTTTGAGCAGCCTTGGCTTCTTCTCAAACAACATTCAAATAACCCTCATCCGGTATTTAACCGCATGGGGGTGGTTTGAGCAGCCTTGGCTTCTTCTCAAACAATATTCAAATAACCCCCATCCGGTATTTACCGCATGGGGGTGGTTTGAGCAGCCTTGGCTTCTTCTCAAACAACATTCAAATAACCCCCATCCGGTATTTAACCGCATGGGGGTGGTTTGAGCAGCCTTGGCTTCTTCTCAAACTACATTCAAATAGCCCCCATCCGGTATATAACCGCATGGGGGTGGTTTGAGCAGCCTTGGCTTCTTCTCAAACAATATTCAAATAACCCCCATCCGGTATTTACCGCATGGGGGTGGTTTGAGCAGCCTTGGCTTCTTCTCAAACAACACTCAAATAACCCCCATCCGGTATTTAACCGCATGGGGGTGGTTTGAGCAGCCTTGGCTTATTCTCAAACTACATTCAAATAGCCCCCATCCGGTATATAACTGCATGGGGATGGTTTGAGCAGCCTTGGCTTTTTCTCAAACATACTAATAGACCCCATCCGGAATTTAACCGTATGGGGGTCTTTTGAATGGGTCCATTTTATATATCTGATCCATTTTTCTTATTTTCAGCTTCAAACACATTCGGGGACTTCCGCCTGTGGAGGTTTCAAGCCATCATCTTAATCCAATCTCAAATTTCTAAGGTACCGCCTGCATCCCATACTTGTCACATTCTTTTATTTCCGGTTGCATAGCATTAGGATATGGACTCCACCAATACACACACGGCACAGCCTACGACTGTGGTCAGCTGGTCACCAGGGACGGCTGAGTCTAGGACTGGGATTGCCGTCTGGGGGTGCTTGGGACAACCTTCACCTACATCGAATCCGACCGTCTCTGTTCATGTGCAGGACAGTATGGCTCGGATCAGAGTGACGGCAATCGACCCTGACTACCAGTCCGATGATGCAGTCGCTGACCCGGCTGACCCTATAAATCAAGAAGAAGCCGAGGAACCAGCTGAGGTAGGTCCTAGTGAGGAAGTTCCACAAAATCCTCTAAGTGCACCTAGTACCCCGGGTGACAGCATCTTGGATAGCTCTGGTTCCAACGGTGAGGAATCCGGAGAGGATGCCAGCGAGGGTTCCAAAGAAGAAGCCGGCGAGGGATCCGGAGAAGGGTCTGCTGATAATAGGGAGTCCGGCCCTGGCCATGATGAAGAGTCTTCTGAAGAGGCGGCTCCTGTTGAAGAAGAGGCCTACAAATGGCCAGCTAAGGGTGACCCGACTGATATGACCATGTCTGCCAGGGATGTGGTCACTTTGAACGCCACACTCCCTGCTTTTTTGCAGAAAAAGCCGGTTGGAGAGGGATGGGAAGTGGTCGTCTCGCCTGTAGAGGCAAGCGTCATTTGGACCGACGACGTTGACCATGCCGATAACTTCTTCGGCTGCTATGAGGCGGCGTTCACAGCCGGCCTCCGGTTCCCCCTCCATCACTGCATAAAGGCCATACTGAAGGGGTATGACTTAGGTGTATGGCAGTTGACCCCTAATTCATGGGTCAACATTCTTGGATATATTGCCGCCTGCGAACTGCAGGGTGTCAAGCCAAGCTGGCAGGCGTTTGCGCACATGCATTATTTAAGTAGAGCGCCGGGTGGGTGGAATGCGTGGTACACTCTCACCACGCTTCCTGAGTACATGATGACCTTGGACAAGCCGTCCAAGTGGAGTAATTGGAAGAGCAAATTCTATGTAGTCTCTTCCCCCTCCCCCCAACTCAACCGCCGGCTGCGTAGATACAATAAGCACCCGGTCTTAATGGGTAGGAAATGCGTTCTCCCTAGAGTACCGGGAGAGGCATGGGACCGAATAATGCAGAATGGTCTCTTTCTGAAGACAACCGCCCCCCTAGATGACGGGGGTGAGATCGTAGTTCCCAAATTTTGGGTGCCCCATCCGGACTGGTTTAAGGATGAGGGTTTTTTTTCCCTTTGTAACTTGAGCACTATGTTCACCAAGGGTAGGTTTACTAATTTATCAAAGTCTTTCCCGGATGGGTATGCTTTGTTTGATCTATAACCATGTACTTTTCTTGTTTTGCAGAAGAAGCAGAAAGAATGGTGCCGCCAGAGAAGACTCCGGCTACCTCTGCCATCCTCTTGAGGAAAAAACAGCTAGAGGAGAAGAAGGCGGCGATGGCCGCCAAAAACGCCGGGGTAATATTTTCTG